TCTCTAATTTTCTCTCACAAGAAAGAACAATTGTCTCTTCGGTACTATTCTTATGCTCACCAGATGCAATTTGCTTTGAGAACAAATGTATAAAAATCAAAGTTTAAAAAAAAGGCTACCGACATGCTGTATCTAATTATTCAACAAAGTATCCTCTTCAAAGTAATTACCAGCTAACAAGGGTATGCCTCCTTTTGTGAAATGGAGGAAAATGGAATTTTAGAAAACAAAAGCTGATTTTTCTGTTTTAATTATAATTTCAGTGTTATAATTTTTGTTCCTAATATTCAATTGGCAGTATCTCTTAATACTTACAATAAAGTTTCTCTGTCAATTCATAAAGGTTAATGATCTACAAACATATAAATACATAAGTACAACTTAAGTTTTAGAGAAAACCATTTCATAAAAGAAAAAAAATATTTTCTTTTGGTTTTAATCCTTTGATTTTCTTGTTTCATAATTTTTAAACTTTATATAAAATATGAGTCCATATCAATATCCCATTGCTAGCAAGTCAATTTCGACTCATAGCGACCCTACAGGACAGAGTAGAACTGCCCCATAGGGTTTCCAAAGCTGTAAATCTTTACAGAAGCAGACTGCCACATCTTTCTCCCACAGAACAGCTGGTGGGTTCGAACCACTGACCTTTCAGTTAAGAGCCGAGCGCTTAGCCCCTGGCTTAACCACCCGGGCTCCCATATCAATATAGATAGATAGATAGAGAGATAAACAAATGGAGGAAAATAGAAAGCTCTGTCTCACAGCAGAATTCCAAATACTAAAAGTTCCGAATTAGAAGGAATGATGCAATTATAAAAATAACCATTTGGCTCCGCTTATAGTAGGAATTGTTTCAGGCAAGAATCAACAATAGGCGCTAAAATTAGTAGGTAAAAGTACAATGAGAAATAGGGTATTTTCAAATCACAAAGAAACTCCCCATAAAACACTTATTAATTAAAAGGAGAAAACAGTAACTCTACAGTGGACAAACCTGGCAGGCCCTACCTCCACCAAGTGTTCAACGTTTTCAGCAGTAATGAGACAAACTGACATCACATGCCTCCTGGGGAGAACACAAAACCAATCTTCTGGGTTTCCAGCCAAATGTCCATAGACTGAATCTAGTCA